CGCCCCCTCGGCTCCCCTCCCCCTTCCCAGCTGCCCGCAGCCCCGCCCCCCCAGCCTGTCCCAGCTCCCAAGCACTGCTGTGTTCTCCATATTTGGCCACAGTGCTCCCGCGGGGGGCGGGGCGGGGCTGACATCACCCAAGGGGGGGCGGGGCTGACATCACCCAAGGGGGGGCGCCGCCTGGGTGAGGGGAGGCAGGGCAGTTGCTTTAGAAGTCTGGGGCTGCCAGGGCACCCCATGCGCTGGGCCCCCGCTGCTCTGAGGGAGGCCTGGGAAAGGATCTAAGGGAATGGGGAGGGGGCCGAGCGCATGCAGCTCCTCCTCCCTTCCTCTCTGACAGCCCCATGTCAGAGTGACAGTGGGGGAGGCCAGGCAGCCCAGCTACCTCAACATGGGGGCTCCCCCAACAGTGAGGGACCGGCACACCCCTGCCCCACATTTCTGTTCCCAGGATTCTGCTCGGGGCTTGGGGAGGAGGCTGGGGACTAGGTAGTTTCCTGGGGCTGGGGGGAATGGCTTTCTGACTGGTCAGGAGCTGCCCACTGGCCATGGGAGAGATCTCCCGGGGACCTCGGGGCCTCACAGACGGCTTATATGGCAGCATGGCGGTCCTCGGTGTTGCTCTGGCTGCTGCGCGGAGCAACAGAACCTTGGTGTGGACCCCACTGGGCAGACTCAAAGCAGTTGCTCGGATAGCCGGGCCTCCTTTCTCTGTCAGGGTGGTGGGTTCAATCCCCTCGCCTTACCCCACTTGGTTAAGAGACAGAAGCTAGATTACCAGGTATAGCACCTAGAGCTGTGTGTCCCTGGGCAAGTTGTTTAACCTCTCTGTTCCCTGGAGTCCTCATCCATAAAGTAGATGCAGTACTATAGGGTTGTGCCCCAAAAGGTGAGTGTGCAGATGAAATGAGTCCCGCGTGTTAAATCCCGGAGCCATGCCTGCGTGTGGCAGGGGCTTTAGAAAAGTCTTATCGTTAAGGCTGAACTCTGTGTCTGGGACTAGCAGTTAGCATAATGGCTGTGTCGCTGGACTCCCATGTAGTCGACCACGGTTCGAGTCCCGGACCCGGTGGCTTAAACTCACACAGGGTGCATGTGCGTGCGTGCCCAAGATCCTGAGAGAATGGAGGAGAAGGGATTGCGGTGTGACCATCCCCCCGGGGGATGATTTCTCGCTTTCTGTCTCTGTATCTGACACCCAGGCATTGCAGGCCCTTCCTACCCCATTCCGCTTGTGACCCCTCAAGCCTCTGTAAGCAGACAGGTGGGCCTGCAGGGAGAAGCCCACCGCTCCCATTCGGTGGTACCCGGGGTTCATACTCCCCCCTGGTTTCTGACCGTTCTCCATCTCGTCCCCTGTGCTCCTCAGAGCCAAGTCCCAGGATCTAGCCACCATGGGCACAAGGCTCCCAGCACCCTGATACACGCTGGCAGGTGCGCTCTGGGGCTGCAGGGGGCTTGGGGTGAGTCTCGGGGCTGTGCGACTGCGGGGCCAGGCTGGGTGTGGTCTGAGTTAATAACCCGCCTGGCGACTGCAGGGAATGCAGTTTACAGAGCCGGGCCCATCCGCGATTCGGGCCAGGGCAGGGGCAGGCGTGTGGGTGGTTTATGGGCTGCTGTGGGCCGGGAGGTGCGGGAACAGGAAGTGGGGTAGAGGAGGGCTGTGGAGTTGAGCAAGGCGGCCGGCCAGGCCCTTCTCAGCGCTCTGCCAGCCTGCATCCCTCCTCCTGCAGCTCCGCGGGCAGTTCCCCACAGCCAGGATCCTGGGCGGGTTCTTGTTAGGTGTCTCTTGTCACCATGTCCTTCCTGGGGATCAGAGCCCTCTTTACTCCCACGGCGCCCGCAGCAGGGTTGCATTGGTTCTTGAGCAGAAATGAGGGCTGGGGGTCCCTGGTTGTACACCGGGAGAGCAGAGTAGAGTGGGAGCCAGAGGGCCACCTAGAGCTGCAGAAACACTGTCCCCGCTCCTCCATCCCTGTCCCCTCACCTCCGTCCCTGTCCCCGCACCTCCGTCCCTGTCCCCTCACCTCCGTCCCTGTCCCCTCACCTCCGTCCCTGTCCCCTCACCTCCGTCCCTGTGCCCGCACCGCCGTCCCTGTCCCCGCTCCTCCGTCCCTGTCCCCTCACCTCTGTCCTTGTCCCAGCTCCTCCGTCCCTGTCCCCTCACCTCCATCCCTGTCCCCGCTCCTCCGTCCATGTCCCCTCACCTCCGTCCCTGTCCCCGCACCTCTGCCCCTGTCCCCTGCTCGCCATGCCTGTGGCAGCAGCGTGACTTTGGAACCTTCCCTGCCCAAGCTTTGTGAGGAGTGAGTGCCGAGGAAGGGCTTTCCCCTGAGAACACACATGGCTGCTGCCCACGGCCAGTGCTGCCTCCTCTGCCAGGCACTGCGGTGGCACTTGGTGCGAGAGACTCCCTCCTCATTTTACAGGGCTGAAGCTCAGAGGGGACGTAGTTCATGCAAGGTCACACAGCTCTGAGTGCGCATAACTCTTACCGCCATCCCCCTGGGGTGGGGCTGGGAGGACCCAGGCCCTCACCTCTCTGCCTCTGCCCCCCAGGCGCAGGCTGCCCAGCGGGCTCAGGCCCCGAGCCCAGAGCAACCAGCACAATAGCGTCCAACAGCTGGAACGCCAGCAGCAGCCCCGGGGAGGCCCGGGAGGATGGACCCGAGGGCCTGGACAAGGGGCTGGACAACGATGCGGAGGGCGTGTGGAGCCCGGACATCGAGCAGAGCTTCCAGGAGGCCCTGGCCATCTACCCGCCCTGCGGCCGGCGCAAGATCATCCTGTCGGACGAGGGCAAGATGTACGGTGCGTGCGGACACTGCCCTGGCCCCTCCTCCTGCTCTCTGCCCTCTCACCCAACCGGTTTGGCGACGTCCTGGAGGCCGCCAAGCAGCGAGTCTGGGCGTGCCGGCCAAGCAGCGAGTCTGGGCGTGCAGGCCTGTGTGTCTGGATCCTCCTCCAGCTGCCTCCTCATAAACAAGCCAGGCCTGCCCCCCCACACCTCTGCACCCCCGCCGGCCCCTTCCCTCCTCCTCACTAGCCTGGCGGTTTCGTGGTGACTCAGTGGGCCCAGGAAACTGGGTCAGTCCAGTGTGCTCCTGAGGCCCGGAAGAGGGTCCCTCCCCTGGGTGGTGTGTGGAGGGAGCCTGGGGGCGAGGACGGGGTGGGGGTCCCACTGGGCCCTCCCCGGGGAGGGGCTCACACAGTGACCTGTGCTGGAAGAGAGACAGAGGGAGGAGGGACTCACTCCTTCCCCTACTGCCCTCCTGGGCTCTCTCTGCCATCCTGCCCACCTCCAGAAAGAAGGGCGTGCCCCGGCAGCCTGAGAGGGCTCTCCCCGGAGCTGCATTTTTGGGATAACTCAACCCTTCTGGGCCTGGTTCCTTGCCAGCTCCCCCAGTCCTCTTCATCAGCCACAGCGGAGCAGTCCCTGAGCCCTCTGCAGAGTCCAGGACCCCTGGGGAGGCAGTGGGAGGTCCCTGGCTCCTCCCCTTGGCCACGCCCTCCAGCTCCAGACCCCGCCTTTGGGGTAGACGACGTTCCAGGGCACCCGCTGCTACCTCCCAGATGGCTGGGGCAGCCCCAGCCCCTCGGGTACTTCTAGACAGGGTGGAGGGAGCGGGTGGAGAGGGGCCTGCAGGGAGGGAGGAGTGGTGGGGCTGGTGCTGTCATCGGAGAGGAATTTGGAGAATGTGGCCTTTACGGGAGGGCAGGGGTTGGGGGTAAGGGGGCTGGATGTGGGGGCAGAGGTGTAGACCCTGATGTCAGCCACGTGTCTCAAGGACCTCCCACAGGGCCACATCCCCCAGACTTTGGCCATCCTCTGGGCCTTCAGAGGGCCCCGGGGTGCTGAGCAGGCCCAAGGCTGAGGCAGCAGGGCTCGCTCTCACTGGGTGGGAGAGACACTGGTAACCAGTGACACGGGAGTGACAGGCACAGGACATGGTGACATGCTGGTGACACATCTTGACATGGACTGGCACTATAGGAGGCATGTCGGAGGCTGTCCAGTCCCTCCTTCCTTCCGTCCTTCCTGTCCTTCCTGGCTGCCCTTGCCAGAGAAGGGAAGGGACTTGTCCAGGGTCTCCCCATGGCAAGGACAGAACGAGGACAAGAGCCCAGTCCTGCCTTTTCAGACTTGCATGGGACATGTGCTGAGAGGCACCACCTGGGGCGGGGCTCATGGACCCCCCCAGGTATGTACAGCCTGCTGGGCCCCTCTGCCCGGAGCCCTGGGCTAGCACCTGCCCCTGTCTGTCTCCAGGGCACAGAGGGCCGGAGTTGCCCCGCCCACTCCTTCCTCCCGCTCTGCTCCTCCGCTAGCCCTTGGGGGGCAGGTCCCAGCGTGCCTGCACATTCTGCCCTGCCCTTGCAGCTTGGGGGGCTCAGGAGAGCAGCCTATGGGAGTGCCCCAGGGGCTTCCCTGCAGGGGCGGAGGGCCTCAGCCTCCAGCTGCACCCTGCCCATACCTCATTTTCTCTCTTGCCCCAATCTAGGTCGAAATGAGCTGATTGCCCGCTACATTAAGTTGAGGACGGGGAAGACTCGGACCAGGAAACAGGTAGAGATGGCCGCCGCGGCCCCTCCACCCACAGCACTCCACTCGGCTGGCGGGCGGCCCTGCCCCACCCACATGGCAGAGTTGCCCCTGCCCAGCCTGCCACCTGCTCCTCGCCTGGTCCTGGTTCCCACCTGCCCTCTCCCAGGACGCCGCACTGCCCCCCCCCAGCAGCCCCATTCACTGTCCCTCTGCTCTTGGAGAGGTGGCCTTGCTGTCCTCTCATCGCCCACCACCCTGCCAGAAAGCCCACCGGGGCAGCTGCATAGCCCTGCCCTGAGTGGTCCACTCTGGGAGACAGACAGACAGACAAATACAGAACAGGGTCGCAAAGCTGAGATAGGTGTGTGTGCTGGGCTCTGTCAGACACTCCAGACCAGGCAGAGGGAGAGCAGAGAAAAGGCCAGAAAGGCTTCCCAGAGGAGGTGACACTTAGAATACATTTTCTCTTTTCTTTTTTTTAAATAATTATTTCTTTAAATGTATTTATTCATTCTTTTTTTTTTTTTTTTAATTTGGTAAGAGAGAGTGAGAGAGAAAGAGAAAGCAAGCATCCAGATCCAGGACTCGAACGGTGGTTGGCCATGTGGGAGTGTCCAGCGCCTTAACCGCCATGCTGGTCCCAGGATGTATTTTCAGTATGAAATAAGGGTTAGTCAGGCAGAGAAAAGGGAGCGATTGCTGCCCGGCTGACGAGGCTGGATGTAGAAATGACGGTAATGGCAGAGCCTCCCAGAGCTGACTGTGTGAGTTTGCACTCCTCTCCGCAGCCGTCCGAGGTAGGTACGGGAATTACCTCCCTTTCACAGGTGAGGGAACCAAGGCACAGGGCAGTTGGGTAACTTCCTCAGGGTTACTTAACTAGGAGGGGTCGGGTCTGGGATTCAACCCACTGGGCAGGAAGGAGCCGCCCCTGAGCAGCACGGCCGTGGCGCAGGGAGGGAGCGATTGAGCTGAAGCCGGGGGCAGCGGGGAGCCATGGAGGGCGTGGAGCCCGGGGTGAGGGGGCCTGGAGGCGCCTCCAGGCTGTGCCGTAGAGAGGTAGAGAAGGCCGATAGATAAGAGGTGAAGCGTGGCCGTGGTTCAGGGAAGGTGGCCGAGTGTGACAGGAAGCCTGGCGGGCAGTGCATGGTGTGCCTGAGAGAGGCCAGGCTGGCTGGGTCCCTGACTGCCCGCCCCAGTAACCTCTCTGTCCAGGTGGGATTTGGGCCCTGCATCCCCCTGCCCAGATCCCTGTCTGTGCATATGACAAGCCTGACCTGACCCACCCCCGTCTTTTTTTAAATTTTTAAATTAAATTTAATTTAATTTATTTATTTTATTTTTTGGAGAGGTTTTTGCTACAGGGCATGTGCGCTCGCCAGACAGACAGAGAGAGACATAGAGACAGAAAGTGAGCAATCACCCCCCGGGGGGGATGGTCACGCCACAATCCCTTCTCCTCCATTCTCCTCTCGTTGGGCACGCACACACACGCGCCTGGCGTGAGTTCTAAGCCACCGGGTCCGGGACACGAACCACGGTCGACTACGTGGGAGTCCAGCGACATAGCCATTACGCTAACTGCTGGTCCCCCCATCCCCGTCTTGAAGGAAGATTCTAGGTCTTCCTGCGCCTCCCCCCGCATAGGGCAGAAACAGCCCCGCTCGTGTTAACCAGCGTCCCTGGCCACGCTCGCGTGGCGGAGCATTTGCTCAAGTGCGTTGGTGAACTGCTGTGACGTTTGTGTACCCCTACGGTGTCAGGGCGCGGCAGGAAGCCGCACAGACTGGGCCGTGGCTTGGACCCTGGGCTGTAGGGGGAGTTCTAAGTGTTGGGAGTCGAACACAGACCTGGGTGCCAGACCGGCTCTTCCTTCCCGGGAAGGAGGGTAGTTTGCCTCGCAGCCTCCGTCCCTCAGCCACTGAATGAGCTAATATATGACAGCGCTTCCAGGAGTGAGCGCGGCCTGAGGTTGTGCTGCTGTCGCTGCTGCGGTCACCGCCACGGGGAGCAGCATGAACGGGACAGTCCTGAGCTCAGATTATTTATGGGAACCTGTGCGTCACAGTGAGACAGCCCGCGCGTCGTTACACTTGGTCGCGTTTTTTGTCTCTCTCTGAGACAGAGAGAGAGAGATCCTTCACATGGTCTCACCATGCCACGACCCCTCCCTAAGCCTTCCAGACCGACATGATGGCGGGAGACCTGGTGTGTTTGAGTCATCCCAGGATTCATGCCTGGGACCTTCCCCACATGGCTCCAGAACCACAGTGGCTTCCTGCTGCCTGTGCCACTGCAGCCGGGCCAAGCTCGGTGACTTTGATCTTGGGGCTCACCCCCAGCCTCTTGATCCTGGGGCTGGCATTCCACCTGTTCTGGGCAACAATGCCCAGGAGGCCACCCTGGGCAACAGAGTTTCACAGCCCAGCTGTTGGCGAGCTTGGAACTTTAAAATCTCCTAAAATCTCCTGGCTTTCACCTCTTGGCAAGGGCAGGACTCCCTCCAAGTTTATTCTCGAACTCTGGGTGTTTCTGTCAAATAGCCTCCTCCCTCCTTAGACAGGACCTGCCCCAGGCTGTGAGGACCAGACATGTCTTTCTTATCTCAGAGTGACCCGCTAAAGAGATGGTTTTGTTGTTGTTATTTTTGTTGTGGTTTGTTTGTTTTGTCATTTTAATCCTCGTTCTGGCAAAGAAATGCCATTTGGGTAGTTTCAGATACGGTACATGCGGCAATTAGTAGCAAGTATAATACCTTCATATGAACAAAACAGCGAAATATTACATTGAGGTGAAGTCCCGTGTGATGTTTCGCACAAAGTCATTTGGACTTTGTATTTGGGAGCAGTCCCCTGTGCTTAAGGCCTCAGCAGGTCTCCAGAGCATAGTTTGCTGGTGAAACAGATCGCTCCGCAGTGGGACCTCCTGGGTCTCCACCCCGGCTGTATCATTCAGCTGTGTGGCCTCGCTTAACCTCTCTGTGCGTTGCTTTTGGCATCTTCAATCGGGGATAAGTTAGTGCCTACTCGGTGTACCGGGAGTCGGGAGGCGTACGTTGCTGAGAACTGTATGCAGTGCCCGTGCCCGGTGAACATCGGCCGGAGTCATGGCCTGAAGTAGTCCTCGTTTTGCTGGACGTGTGTCTGGTTCCTCTGGGCAGGGAGGCTGCGTGAGGGGACCTCCCTGGGTCCTAACCATGTAGCCCCAGGGGCTCCCCCTCATCCCATACACAGTAACTTTCGAGGCTATGATTAGAAAGAAAAAGAAAGTGTCTCTAGCTGAGGATTTTGAAAACTTCTTAAATAACTTCCTAGAAAGCCCGCAGCAATTGCCGATGCAGAAAGTGTGGAGCTAGCCCAGAGGACGAGGGCGTTTCCTGGTTTTCCTAGGGAAACCAGTGGCAGGCGGGCTCTCCGAGGCGGGATCAGGCGCTTGACGATGTCTGGACACAGGCCTGAAATCTAAGTAGCTCAGGATGGCCAGCCGAGGTGTCAGGGAGGAAGCTGCTGGTGAAGAAATGCAATGAAAGGCACCTACTGTGTGCATAAAGAAGCGCAATGAAGAGCACCCACTGTGTGCATACCAGCCCCAGGAAAAGGTTGGAGTGTTGGGGCAGAAGCTGTGGGAGCTGCAGGAGTAGGCCCAGGCTTGGTTCTGTAGCTGGGGACTCGGCGCTCCTCTGAGAGAGGGGTGGCCTTGGGTATAATCAGATGACCAGCAGCACTGTGGCCATTGCTAGGCTCTGGGGTGCCAGTTAGAAAAGTTGTCACCTCTGAGGACCCTGCAGTGAGAAAAGGCCGTTGTTTGGTGGGATGGAGGAAAAGACACCCTTCCCCTGAGCTTGGTACAGCCCTGTACCAGGGCACCAGGGCCCGTTTGGCCAGCAAGCAGGCTGGATTTCAGCTCTCTGGGACCTTCTGGGCTAGGTTCTCTTGCACAGTGAGCAACCTGCACAGCTGCACATGTGCCCAGGAAGCCACCGTAGGCTCTTGATCCAGACAGGGCTGGGCCAGCTCTGTGTCGCAGCAGTAATGTGGTGCTCAGGAGAAGTCAGGTGCCACACAGCAGCCGCGGTTCAAATCCCCAGCCCAGTCAGCTGAAACACGCCTAGCACGCACACAAGTACTTACGATCGGATGGGCTAGAGGGCTGGAGGACTGGAGGACAGGGACAGTGGCGTGACCAGACTGGAGGGTGCTCATCCCTCCCGGACCCCGCTCTCTCCCTCTCATGCGTACATGCTCTCTTATCGAGAATTAAGAACAAAAAAAGTGAGCGGCCCGAGAGAGCAGAATTGCCGGTGCCGAGAGGTGTCGGCTGCAGGCCCGGAAGCCCCCTGGTCTGTTTTTGGTGCAGAGATGAGGCTGGGTTCCCCTTGCCCGGGAACCCTCCCTGGCTCTCCCTCCTCACTGTCTGTTTCCTCCCTGGCGGGGCACGGGGCGACCCCTAGGTGTCCAGCCACATACAGGTTCTAGCTCGGAAGAAGGTGCGGGAGTACCAGGTTGGCATCAAGGTACGTTGGGTGCCTGATTGGGGCTCCGGCCCTCCGCCCCCCGAGGCACCTCCATCGCTAGCTGCACCACTCAGGCCTCTGCCTCGCCAGCTGTCCGGCCCACTGGCCTCTGTTCTGGCTGAAGCTCTCCTCGCCTCTCCTTCCACTCTCTGTTCTCTCTCTCTTTTTCTCTCTGTCTCTCTCTCTCTCTGCAGGTCTCTAGCCACTTGCAGGTTCTAGCCAGGCGGAAATCTCGGGAGATTCAGTCCAAGCTGAAGGTATGAGGCTCCCCGCCCCTTGCCTGGGTCGGTCCAGCACCTCCTGGGCCCCGCCTGGGGCACGCAGGGGCCGAGTTCCATGAGAGGGTCTTAGAGACACAAGTGGCAGCAGGAAGCCCAGCAGCCATGGCAGCCTGCCCAGTGCCACGCCCCTGAAGACCGAACAGGAGCCCGGGGGTAGCCAGCGCTGCAGGGGACGGGGTGGGGGACCACGGAGCCACTGAGGCCCACCTCACCTCATCTCCATTCTCCTTTTTCTCCTTCCTAACTGCTGCTTGCTGATTGCATGGGGGCTGTGGGTGGGCAGGGAGGAGCGCTGGAAGGCATGGCTGGCAGGGCCATGGAGGTGGGCACTGGGCATGGCGAGACCTCTGTGGCTGAGGATCTCTGAGTCTGGACTTCAGGAGCTGGCCCTCGCGCGGGCCCTGCTGGCTGGGTGCTGTGCTTCCCGCCCACAGCTGTCCAGCGGCCTCGGCCTCCATCTCCAGCCCCGGGCCCCGTGCCTGTAGAGCAGTTCCATGGGACGAGGACAAACCCAGGGTCACCAGCTTGGCCCAGCCCCTCAGTCTCCACCTAGTCCCTCCCTCACTTGGCCCTTCCCAGGGCTCTGCAGCTGGCAAGGACTTCCTGTGGGGAGGGCGTGAGGAGGCCCACAGTTGCCTCCAAGTTTCCTCGGGCTCCTTGGGAGCTGAAAGCCGTGGGGCTGAGGAGGCACTGGGTGAAAGCAGGCGGCAAAACGTGTCCCCTCCTCCCATCCCACTGCATTTGTGTCACTTCTAATTCATTCTCCCTCTCTCCTTCACAGGCTATGAACCTGGTAAGTGGCATTACCTTTCCCTTGGATCTCAGCAGTTAATACAGAATTTCCAATAATTATTTATGATTAAAAAGGGGGGGAGCGGGACCAGCAGTTAGTGTAATGGCTGTCGCTAGACTCCCATGTAGTAGACTGCATGCGGTTCAAGTCCCGGACACAGTGGCTTAAGCTGATGCCAGGCGCATGTGTGTGCGTGCTCAAGATCCCGAGAAGAGAATGGAGGAGAAGGGATTATGGCGTGGCCATCCCTCCGGGGGGTGATTTCTCGCTTTCTGTCTCTGTCTTTCTGGCAAGCACATGCGCCCTATAGCAAAAACCTCTTACAAAAAGGGGGGTGGGGAGCAGCAGGTGGGTGCCATGATGTAGAGGCACCGGATTCCCACATGACTGACTGTAGTTCTAGTCCCGGACCTGGTAGCTTACTTTCTCACTTTCCTTTTCTCTCTATCTCTGGTCAAACTTTAAAAAAGTGATGATAAGAAATGGAATTTAAAAAATAAATATTTATGGGACCAGTAGTTAGTGTAATGGCTGGGTTGCTGAACTCCCATGTAGCCGACCACGATTCAAGTCCCAGACCTGGTAAATTAAACTCACGCCGGCCGCGTGTGCTTGCATGCCCAAGATCCCGAGAGGAGAATGGAGGAAAAGGGATTGCGGTGTGGCCATCCCCCCCGGGGGGTGATTTCTCGCTTTCTGTCTCTCTGTCTTTCTCTGTCTTTCTGGCACACACCCTATAGAGAGGGGATATCAAAAAATTATTTAAAAATATAGAATTTTCACATTATGGATTGTTAAATCAGTGTAATGGGTTTATAAACAGCATTTTTTTTTTTAAAGAAATGAAATGCATTTGTTCTCAAACTTTAGTGTGCATAAAAATCACCTGGAGGGCTTGTTAAAAAAATTTTTTTTTCCCAGAGCCGGCAGGTGGCGTGGTGGTTAAGGACACTGGACTCCCACATGGCCGACCACGGTTCGAGTCCCAGACCTGGCTTGCTTTCTCATTCTCTCTCTCTCTCTCTCTTGCTCACTCTATCTCTCTATGGTCAAATTAAAATAAATAAATAAAGTTAAATAAAATAATTCTTTAAAAAAATAATAAATAAATAAAAATTTTTTCCCCAAGTTTTTTGCTATAGGGTATATGTGCTTGATAGAGACAGAGGGAAAGTGAGAAAACACCACCCAGAGGGGATGACCACATGGCAATCCCTTCTCCATTCTCCTCTCGGGATTTGGGGTATGCACGCACATGTGCCAAGTGTGGTTTTCAAACCACCGGGGCCAGGACTTGAACTGGACAATTGGCCATGTGGGAAACAGCACTTTAACCAACCACTATGCCACCCACTAGACCCTTCTTTTGTTCTTTTTTTTTTTTTTTTTTTAACTTTGCTATAAGGTGTGTGCACATGCCAGAGAGAGATTGAGGGCAGGTGAGAAAGCGCCCCCCAGGGAGAATGGCTAAGCCGTCCCTTCTCTTCATTCTCTAGGATTTGGGGCACACACACGTGCGCATCCAGTGTGTTTTTCAAACCACCGGGTTTGGGACTTGAACATACAGTCAGGAATATGGAATGCAGCTGCCTTAACCACCACGCCACCTGCTGGCCCAGGCTTGTTAAAATGTCCAGACCTCACCCTCTGAGTATCAGACTTCGTAGGTCTGGTCGAGGGCCTGAAACTTTACATTTGTCACATGTTCCCAGGTGATGCTGCTGCTCTTGGTCCCTGGACCTGACTGAGAACCACTGAAGAGACAGAATAGAAAATATGAGATTGTCTGACTTGCAATAAGGGGGGATATTTCCATACGTACTGTGTCGTGGAATAAATAAAATGACTTCTTACTGTGGGTTATAGTCAGAGGGTGATTACTCTTAGAAGACCAAGGCCCAGAGAAGTGTGGAGACTTTCCGGGAGCCACACAGCAAAGCCGGGCTGTAATCCAGACCGGGGCTCCCTGAGCTGAAGGCCTGGGGCCTGGCTCAGGCGGCCTCACATGGCCCTCCCCTTTCAGGACCAGGTCTCCAAGGACAAAGCCCTCCAGAGCATGGCGTCCATGTCCTCTGCCCAGATCGTCTCCGCCAGCGTCCTGCAGAACAAGTTCAGCCCACCCTCCCCTCTGCCCCAGGCCGTCTTCTCCACTTCCTCACGGGTACACGGGGTCCTGGAGAGTGGGGCTGGGGGGTGTGCCTTCAGTGACGGGCTGTAGTGGAGTTCATGGATACTGAGGGCCCCCTTGGCTTTGTCCCATCTCTAGTTCTGGAGCAGCCCCCCTCTCCTGGGACAGCAGCCTGGACCCTCTCAGGAGTGAGTATTGTGGCTCATCCTCCATGGCTTCCTCCTGGCAGCCATGCTGAGCGTCCCCTCCTAGCCGGGTTCCAGCGTCAGCTGAGCAGGGTTTTCATTCAGGTGGAGGGATGGGGAGCCTCAGTAAGCGCTAATGCCTGTGTCTGTTTATTCGTGTGTGTGTTCACTCATCAGCCCACTCATCCCCTTGTCATCCGTCCCTGCATTTATTTTCTTCTGGGTTGATATCTGAGTCATTCTCGGTTAACAAAGCAGGTAGTTGGGTATACGCAGATTCTTCGATTCTCAGACAACTTTCGTCGTTAAGACACACCCTCAGTTTAATGAACAGCTTTTCAGGGAGGGGGTGGGAGGGTGGGGTTGAAATAATACATTAAATTTGCACAATTGTGAGATGCAGCAGGATTTCATAAAAGTTAAAATGTGGGGAAAACAAAGAGCGGTGAGTTACCTCGACAGCAGGCATGCCTAGGCCTCCGCGGGATGGCCGAGTGACTGCCTGTTGAAGTGAGCTGGGCCAGATGGAAGGTGGGGGGGGGCCTCTAACCAGGCTGTCCTCTGTCTGCAGCATCAAGCCCTTTGCACAGCCAGCCTACCCCATCCAGCCGCCCCTGCCACCGACGCTCAGCAGTAAGTTCCTCACACACACCTGCCCCACCGTCACCACCTCCCCTTGGCACCCGTACCTCTGCTCAGAAGAGCCAGAGCCCGACTGCGTGTGTGTGTGCGTGTGTCCGTCCCAGGAGAGAGGGCTGTGGCGTCTCTAGGGAACTGAGGGCTATCCCTGTGACGCTGTGCAGAGGAAGCTGGGTACAGACCCCAGCCCCATCAGCTTCATGTCGCTCTTGGGTTTATGACGGGATGGAGAACTGAGGGAGAGATTGTGGCGTGACTAGGCCCTGTCATGGGTGCCTTCCCGCCACTCCCCACCTTTCATGTATGTGCATATGCTCTCTATTGTGGACAGAAATAAGTACACTGGAAAAAGAAGAAAAAGAGAAATGATAGAGAATTGGGCCAGGCCAGGAATAGCCCCTGTACTTTGCAGTGTTGTACAAATCACCAAAATGTCACATTTACTTGTATTTCTTTTTTTTTTTTTTTTGAGAGGTTTTTGCTATAGGGCGTGTGCGCTCGCCGGACAGACAGAGAGAGACATTAGAGACAGAAAGCGAGAAATCACCCCCCAGGGGGGATGGTTATGCCGCAATCCCTTCTCCTCCAGTCTCCTCTCGGGATCTTGGGCACACACGCACACGCGCCCGGCATGAGTTTGAAGCCACCAGGTCCGGGACGCGAACTCCGGTCGACTACGTGGGAGTCCAGCGACATAGCCATTATGCTAACTGCTGGTTCCCACATTTACTTGTATTTCTATGGAAGCTCTGTAAGGAGATAAACCAAAACCTTAACAGGGCTTCGCTGTCTAGTTGGTGGGATTCCAGGTAAATGTTACTCTCCCGTTACTTCTCTGTGTTTTCTGTTTAAACACCCATGGCTGATGTCACAGGACCATGTCCTTGTTCACGTGGCCACCACATATGGTTGTGCAGGTTGGACACTGCACCAAGACACCCAGGAGAATCAGAACTCCAGCCCCATCTCCACTGCCAAGGGGCCCTGTTTCCTAACTTACGTGAAGGCCTGTGTGGGCCGGGAACAGCTCTGTCATGAGCTGTCCATGAGCCCATGCAGATGAGGTTCCATCTCCCTCCTAGGTTATGAGCCCCTGGCCCCGCTCCCTCCAGCCGCTGCCTCTGTGCCCGTGTGGCAGGACCGCACCATTGCCTCCTCCCGGCTTCGGCTCCTTGAGTACTCAGCCTTCATGGAGGTGCAGCGGGACCCTGACACGGTAACGCATTTGGTGGGTGGGGGCTGAGGCTTTGCACAGTAAAGGAGACTGGCTGGGGGCGTCTGGCCTGCTCGGGAATCCACAGGGCAGGGCCGTCTCTGCACAGGTCCACTTGGGGCCCACGGTGCCCTCCTGACCGGGTCTGTGCCCTCCCCACAGTACAGCAAACACTTGTTCGTGCACATCGGCCAGACGAACCCCGCCTTCTCAGACCCGCCCCTGGAGGCGGTCGACGTGCGGCAGATCTATGACAAGTTCCCTGAGAAAAAGGGTGGGCTGAAGGAGCTCTATGAGAAGGGGCCCCCCAATGCCTTCTTCCTTGTCAAGTTCTGGGTAAGCCACCTTGCTCCCTCTCTCCTCCCAGCCCCCAGCCCTGCTCCAGATGTGCAGCATCCCCAGGGCTGCCACGCTGACCCCAGCCCACACTTTCCTCCTGTGACCTGTGGGCAGAGTGTCAAGATGGATCCTCGGGTGGGAAGCCTCCCTCTGGCTCCTATCTGCACCTAACGCTCCCTGCCCCGCTGTACCCCACCCTACCCCACCCCTAGGCTGACCTCAACAGCACCATCCAGGAGGGCCCGGGAGCCTTCTATGGGGTCAGCTCCCAGTACAGCTCTGCTGACAGCATGACCATCAGCGTTTCCACCAAGGTGTGCTCTTTTGGCAAGCAGGTGGTGGAGAAGGTGGAGGTGAGTGAGGGCCCAGGTGGGTGGTGGGGCCCAGAGCAGGCAGGTCGAGTGATGCCCTCTCCCCTGCGGCTCTTGGCAGACGGAGTACGCCAGGCTGGAGAACGGGCGCTTCGTGTACCGGATCCACCGCTCGCCCATGTGCGAGTACATGATCAACTTCATCCACAAGCTGAAGCACCTGCCCGAGAAGTACATGATGAACAGCGTGCTGGAGAACTTCACCATCCTGCAGGTGCGGGGACACAGGGCTGTGGAGGGCCACGTGTCAGGGGCCTCAAAGAGCAGGAGGCAGACCTGTCACTTGCATGAGAGGAGATCAGAACCCTCTGCCCCGTGGCCCTGTTCTGCCTGACCTGAATCTTCCTGTCTCCAGGTGGTCACAAGCCGGGACTCCCAGGAGACCCTGCTGGTCATCGCTTTTGTCTTTGAAGTCTCCACCAGTGAGCACGGGGCCCAGCACCACGTCTACAAGCTGGTCAAAGACTAAGGTGCCCTCTGCCCCTCACAAGGATGCAGGACGAGCTTCTTTTCCACACGCCTGCCTGGCCTCCCCGCCAGGGGCGTCCAGGATTGAGGACTCTTCCACCTGCCAGGCCTCAGGCCAGGACCCGGGAGGCCTCCCCACCTCCCCCAGCACACACACTCCCTGTCACTGTTCTGCGCTTTAATCGTGGGAAGAGGAGGGCTTGGCGTGGGCCAGGCTGTCTGGGGTGCTGACCCACCACCTGGCTCTGCCCAGCCTCCCATGGCCTTGGAGAGTCAGAGATGGAAGGCCCGTGTGAGCTCCAGCATGTGTGGCCACCGGCCGCCAGGGGAGCGAATGGATGGGCAGGGGAGGGTAGGAGGGAGGCAGGGAGCTGGCGTGCAAGGACAGTGTCGAGCTGAGCTGGATTGAGGACAGAGGCCCACGCTTCTCTGCACGCTCTGTGCTGGGCCTCTTGCCAGGCCCCTTGCATGGCTGTGCCATCCTCAGACCCTGCACAGCAAGCGTGGAGCTCTATTTCAGATGAAGTGCCCAGACTCCCAGCAGTCGAGGGCCCCATGGGAGGGGTGGGCAGAGCTGGAGCTCCATCCAGGACTGCCTGTCCCCAGAGCCAGGTTCGCACTACCTCCCTGGAGCGGGGCTGGCCATCGGGGTTAGGAGGGGTCTGCACTGCTGTGGAGTGGAATTTCCTTGGTGGCAGCTGGCTTGGAGGCCCGAAGAGCACTCCTCTCCCAGTCCCCCAGTACAGGGCAGTAGGAGGGGAGTGTGTGTCTGTGAGGTACCCACTTGGCACCCTCTAGCAGCCCACAAGCCAGCTGGGTTCCCCCAAAGCCTCCAGGCAGTCCTCCAAGCTGTCCTGGCCCAGTTCTGATGCCCAAGTCCTCAATACCCTCCAGGGGCCCAGACTCAGAAAGGATGCAGGGCCGGGTGGAGGAAGATAGGTCTCTACCCCTGGGCAGGACAGAAGCCCGGGAGAAGTGGTGGCAGGAGGCTTTGACACTCTCTCTTGCCAAGACTTGGGTTTGATAAACCCTCAGTGGGCACTGTTTCGAAGGCAGCCCTTCCCCGGCAGCCCCTTCCCAACATCTAGGCCCTGAGGGCTGGCTCAGCCTGCCCAGGGCCTCCTCTGGGTATTTATGAGTGTCACATGAAGTACTGTGCCCCTTCTCCCCCTACCCTACCCTGGACCCTGCCCGAGCTCCCCAGAGGTCCTCACAGTTTGCATATTGCTCAGGCCACCTCCAAATCCCACCTAGGTTTTATAATGTATATTATATATATTTTTGTGTATTTTTAAAATCCAGCTGTGATGGGTTGTATCATAAACGTGGCTCGAGGCTGGGGCAGGGGTGCTCAAGGCCCCACTCCTGCTCAAAAAAAAAAAAAAAAAAAAAAAAAAAATTAAAAGTTATTTGTCTGTGGGTCAGTTGTTTGACCAGTGTGTGCCAGACCTTTGGGCTTGGCGTTCTACCCCAACCCCTGCTCACCTTCCTGTCATCTGATGGGACCAAGCCTCACCCACACACAAAGTAGGTACGATACGAGGGTCCCACAAAACCTTTGCCAACTGCCAACATTTCTCCCACCTCTTCGGCCAGGGCTGAGCACTTGCACATGGCCTGGGCTGGCCCGAGCTCATCTGAGTGAAGTAACTTGCCCAAGGTCACACCACTGGGGAGGGTTGCTCCTGGGTGCCCTGCTTAAACCAGCACGTCTTCACAGCCCTGTGAAGATCGCCTGAGAGCAGAAAGGATCCTCAGGGAGAGTGAATGCTCTCCCAGGATGGCTGCCGAGCAGGGAAGTGACATTCCCATCCTCTGGAAGGCCACCTCCTGCCCATGCAGCCAGCCAGGACCAGTCAGGGAGGGAGCGTGAGGGTGGGTGGTGTGGCTCTCTTAAAGCTCTCCAGTGGGCATTTTCCCAAGGAGGCTGTTCCAGTCCAGCACTTCACAGGGCAGATCAGCTGGACTCCCTCATCACAGATGAGACAGAGCCTTTGCCAGAGCGTGTCCTGCTGACTGGAACCGGAAGAGGTATAAATAAAATGCAGGGGACCTAGTTGGAGTTGGACTTCAGTAAACGTTTTAAAGTATGCCTCATGCAATACCGAAAAAATTGTTTTTCTGATACTCAAATTCAGGTGTTTTTCATTTGTCAAATCTGACAGTCCTAGTCTTCCAGACCATTCTGGTCCAACCTCAAGTTTTCAGATGGAGAATCTGCAGCTGGGTTCAGTGTGCTCACTCGTCACTGAACACCAGGACTCAAACCTGATCTGACTCAAGTCCACGTGCCCAGGATGGCCCAGGACTCAAACCTATTTGCAGGGCGGGCTTGTACTAGAGCCCCCGCCAAGTAGAATGTCCTGGAGCAGAATAAATTCATTTATGAACGATGCCCACTATGCCAGTCCTGGACATCAGATCTAGTCCTGTCAGATGCTTAAAGCATCACACGGGCAATAAACAACCTTCGGGTGATTGCTTTCGGCTCTATTGTAGGCATTGCCCTTTTTAGGATTTGTAAATATATAGTACCTTCAGAAAATATGGAAAACCTCAAAGAAAATAAAAACCACAGAAATACAGCCTTTGGATAGAACTATAGGTAGTTTCCAACTTCCACTTTTGTTGTACCTTGTTCTCCCAATAAACCCATGTGGGATTACCTTGCAGGGCAGAAAGGGAACTGCATTTGCCCTTGCACCACTGTCTGGCCCCCTAGGCTGATCTTAACATTTTGGCAGAGGGCACTTGCCAGAGACAAGGAAGGTTGAGAAAGCACCCCACCAACCTTGGGGAATGGCCACATGGCAACCCCGTCCCCATTTCTTCCTTTTGGGACTTTGGGTATACGTTTTCCTGGCTGTAGGGTCCAGAACTCAACTGGTTGGCCATGTGGGATCCAGCCACCTCAACCACAACGCCACCAGCTGGCCATCCTGCACTGGAAATGCCGCTTTCCGATATTAATAGACAAAAGGAAGTACCAGGCTGGACCTTGGGAACTGAAATTCCCTGTTCATCCCTGAAACACTGCAGCCATCTTACCTGAAAAAACTTTTTAGATTTTTTTGCTATAGGACCTGAGCTAGCTAGACAGAAAGGGAAAAATCTCTCCCCACCCACCACCCAGGGGCATGGCCAGGCGTTTTCTTCTCCCAGGACTTTGGGGAAGCACACACACACCCACACATCCAGTGTAAGCCAAATGTAGTAGCAGTAGTAACAAATGACCATGATGCCATCTACTGGTCCTCCTACTAAGTTATAACTTAGAAGCTAAAATGACAAGAGCCAGCAGATCCAGTGGTGGCTAAGGCACTGGACTCCCACGTGGCCGACTGCAGTTTGAGTCCTAGACCTGAAGGTTTTAAGACCTTGCCTACTCCAAGTGCATGGAGAAGGGATGGAGGCCATCCCCTCTGGGCAGGTGAGCTCTCATTTCTCCTCTGCAGGCCTTGCTCTATGACAAAAAAAAAAAAAAAAGACAACTCTGCACAGGGTTGTGAATCAAAGATCTTCTCTTCCTTACTATGCAGAATGCACAGGTGAAGCACAACTGCAAAACACAGCCAGCAGGTAGCACAAAAATTCAGTCAGCTGGGTCCCACATGGCCAACTGTGTGGGTCACATGCGTGCCCCGAATCCTGAAAGGAGATTGTGGACTGGATACCCCACCCTCCCAGGGGTGGGGGATGGGTAGGCAGCTTCTCTCTCTCCCCAGGGAACACACACACCTTATGGCAAAAGCTTCTACTCTATTTACCAAATTATCACATACTTAATATCCAAGGTGTGGACAAGACTGCATGATTCTGATGGCAGAATACCCTATCTGCAGTACATGCATGGCTTGGCTCTAAGAACCAAGAACTGTTAACTGTCAGCTCACAAAGGACCCCCTCAGGGACCAGCAGTTAGTGTAATGGCTGGCTGGACTCCCATGTAGTCAACCTTGGTTCACATCCCAAACTTGGTGGCTTAAAACTCATGCCAGGTGTGTGTGTGCCCAAGATCCTGAGAGGGGTGGAGAAGGGATTACGGCATGGCCATCCCCCTGGGGTGTGTGTGTGTGATTTCTTGCCTTCTCTCTGTCTGGCAACCGCATGTGCCCTATAGCAAAAACCTCTCCACACACACAAAAAATAGGACCCCCCCCCACACACACACACACACGAGCATGCGCACACTCTGCCCTAATCACAGACAAGGTGGGATGGTGGCACTAGAATTTATTAAGATGTGCTTTAATACAGACGCTGGGGCTTTCCCATGGTGCTCTTGATGTATAAAGCCCGGACATTCTGCCAATTCTTCTTGAGTAATGACACCAGGAAGTTAACAGCCAAGTGGATATTGTACACAAGCTCATCGTCTGTCATCTTCACATGGCCAACAGCCACAGCCAGACACAGCACCTGGGGGAATTAAGAGTGGGTCAAGCCAAGAAAGTGGAAGATGGCAGATGACCTGTTCCTCCTCCCCTAGTTATCTATATGCACAGACTTGGCCCCAGGCAGAGAAGAGGCTATTAGAAAACCTCTCATCCTGCTCAAGGATCCTGTCAAGTATCTTTTAAGTGTCTACAAAAATAAAGCCAAGGTTCCTATTGGCCATTGCTTAAACACAGGTTAAAACCTGGACCCTGCCAATACAGCCCAACTGTGCATCCTCACCAACAGCAAGTCCAGTCTTACCTTCTTCATCTGGAACTTGATTGTAGACTTCACCTCATCGACTTTGGCCACCATGTTCTCATTGTGTGTCAGCAGGGACGGGAATTTGCCGGCCTTATTTAGACCGGGGCCCAGGATTCGTGGGATCTGCTTGATCAGGGACTCTGAGGCCAAAAAGGCATCATACTTCTTGGCTGGTAAAGAGAGGAAGCACCCACTGGATGCTTAGGACCTAGTCACTGAGGCGTACCTCCCAACATGGTAACCGGGCCAGAAACAGAGTCCAATCAGAGTCCTCTTTCCTGTCCACACACCAAATCTTAGTAACCCTTCCCAACGCCTGCGCTGTTACCAGTGTTTTAACTCCACCAGACTTTACTGGTCCTCAGTTCTGGTCTCAGAAGACCAGGCTGGTCCAGTCTACAACAGTGCCGCACATTGGTCAACACACGGGTACTCTGGGCAAGGCTGCCTGGACTCAAATTTTGCCTTCTCATCCCCTAGCTGTAGGTGTTGGGTACATAACTGGGCTCACATCTGTTGCTACCTGTGAAATGAATTGAACACCTCTACCAAGGCCACATAGGACCACCTCAAAAAAGAAATTGTATTAGAGCCCAGTAAATTAGAAATTACAATTCACAGTTCACCAGCACCTGGCCGGTCAACTCCGCTGAGTTTCAAGCTTCCCTCTATATAAAATGCGATCCTTAAACCAAGAGAAGAAGGCAGCTTCTTAAAGCTCAAACTGCAGCTCACACTTGAACAACTCAGAGCAGCCCAGACCCTCTCCTTGGAAATTCTACCCACTCATGTAAAAATCAAAAGGCAGAAAGCATTTCCGCAAACTGCCCCCACCACTACCCCAAATTCAAAACTACACCGCAGCACGCACCCAGCTTCTTGACCAGCTTCTTATTCTTGTTGAGTTTCTTCAGCGCCTCGATGTCCATGTGGGGGATATCCACAGCCTTGGCCTCGTCGCAGTGCTGCTGGTCCCCCAGGACACACACGGAAAACTTGGGGCGGGGAGTAGACTTAAGCCTGCGTTTTGGGGGGGACACAACAGGTCAGGCCAAGCCAGGGTGGCGAGGGCAGGTGAAGGGGCCTGGGACTGCAGCAGCCTTACCCAGAAGGTCCGCATTCACCAACAGCCAGTCTGGCTTCTCAGACTGGCCGGCGGGCTCGGCCGAGGCCTCCCCACGCCTCCCCTCATGTTTTAAGACCCAGGGTGGGGGTCCGTCCAGCCACGCCTGCCCCGGGCAGGGGGTCTGAACTACCCAGGCACTTCGGTACCGCGCGCCTGCATCGGGCCAGCGAGAGCCCAAGGGAGCGAGGCCGGCACGGGGGCGCCGAGGGCCGGGTGGGATCAGAACGCTGCCAACCTGACGGTGCCCGAGAAGCGCTTGTCCTTCTGAGGGTCATAGTTCTTCAAGCTGATCTGCAACTCCACCGTTTCCAAAAACCTTCGAGATACGAACCGTGTCAGCCAGCAGCCCGCCTCCCGAACCCGCCCGGGTGCTGCCCTAGCCAGAGCCCCACTCACTTCCGGCGCTTGCGCTGGTTCCCGTGCAGGACTTCCCGCACCGCCTCGTACAGGGTGTCGCGAGAGACTTTGCTGCTGCGGGAGAGAAGCGAGGGCGCGCTCAGGCCGGGATGCGGGCTCCGCACCCTCGCGAGTCCCCGCGGTCCCGGAGCGGAGAACCGCGCGCGGGGGCCCAGGTGGGGAGGATGGGGCCCAGAGCCAGATCCGAGCTGCGAAGAGGGGTCCTCTTGGGGACTGGACCCGCGACCCGATCCGGCCAAAAATGCCCCGAGGCGGACACGGCGCAAGGACTCCCGAGTGGCCCAACAGGGTCCCCATCCCCGACGCGGCACCCAGAGGCCCGGATGGACACAGATAGCACCGAAAACACTTCTCACCTCATGGTGCTTCACGCCGCGAAACCCGGAAAAGAGACTAGCTAGCTTCGCGCATGCGCAGAAATAGCGGTTCTGCTCTCGCGAGAAATGCCTTGCTCCTCCGGCCTATTTCCAGGAGGTGATTGGGTCGCTTAGTCCCAGGAGGCACCGTCCCCGGCCCCTGGTGGGCGTGGTTGCGAGTTGTACAGCTGGACCCTGGAGCAGGCGGACCCAGCTGCGGTGGTCCTGGGGCCCGCGGCTCCCTGGGAATGTCCCCGCCGCGCCAGCTGCTGCTGGGTCAGGGCTGGAGCTGCAGTCGTCCACGGACGGGGAACAGCACAGGGATTCAGCTCACAGCGTGATCCCCGTGCGTGTCCCTCCCTCAGGTCTCCTCTGCCGCTTCCTCCTGCCCTCCCCACCAGCTTCTGTTCTTGAAAACACGCTTAATATTCCTAGCCTGGCCTTCCTCCCTCATCATCTTGCTCCAACAAGGACTCACGGCTTTCAAGGAAGGCTCTGCCCCTACACCTGCCATTGGAAAGAGCTAGAAAGGTAGTGTTGGGATTTCACTTGGTAGTTGATTCAGTAACATCTGCATGTTAAGTGTCCCCTGGGAACAAGGCGTCCAGCTAGGTGGCCGTGGGAATAGATGTGAACCAGACTACCTTTTCGAAAAATACTTCTTTATGTTTTTAATTCACTGCAGAGTACATGCACGTACACGCGGAAGAGAGGAGTACCCTCCATGGGGGTTGGTCACACCGCAGTCCCCTTCCTCTAGGTCATTAGTCCTGGGGCACTCACGTGTGCACGTTTCAGCGTAACAGGTGGGGATTCAAACTGCAGTTGCCATGTGGGCTCTTGTTACTCTTCAGCAGTGCTTTACGCTGAGCCATGGAACTGGCCCTGCCCTTTTTGTCCAATGGGTCTCATCCGCTTTTCAGCCACCCTCCCCCAGTAAACCCAGGAGATCTTTATCTCTCTCCTCAAATGGCATCTGCCTGAAACCTTTCCCCAACTCCAGACTAAGACCCCAGTCCTCCCCACACATCATCTACTCAACGGGCAGCTCTTTAGGGCTAGGGTGGGTGCTGCCACGCACTGGCCCACAGAATCTGGGTGAATGGACATCAGAACCAAACCTCCCTCCTTCCCTTCACCAGGAAGTAAGATGCCCACGTCACTGAGTGCGGCGGTGAAGAGGGTGGGGATTGGGTTCAACAAATAGTTAACAGAAAATTTGCGCAAACACTGCTTGTAGTGAGACGTTGGTGACCTTCCGTTTTATTAAATACCATTGATAAATGATTCAAGTCGGACACAATAACACAGAGGGTTATACACCCCAGGTTTCCTGGAGCATCATATGCCTACTCTGGGCCTGCTTGGGTCCCACTAAGGCCGATCAGTTTCTGCCCCTGCAGCCTGACAGGAGTGGTGAGGAGTGAGCCCAGGACCAGCAGCCCATTAAAAATTACAGCTCAGCAGCCCGGCAGCCCAGGGTTGCCCCTGCTGGTTGGAAGCAGGAAGGCAGCTGGACCCTGGGATGGTCAGGCTCAGTCTTCAGGAAGTTGGTGTCGGAGCTCCAGGACGGCAGCCCCTTGGAGGAGGCTCAGGCAGCCAGATGTTTCAGGGCAGCCTGTAGGGACTTCTTCAAGAAGGTGGTGTTGGGCTCCAGGGCCACAGCCAGGCCCAGCCTCTGGGTCTCAGTGATCTGTGGAGAAGGAAGAACCATGTCCTGGCTCCAGCGGCTGATTCCTCCTCACCCTCACTACCCCATGGGCTGTTTAGGCAGAAGCCGGGACACAGGGACGACAGAGGAGGAGAGTCCTGAGCATTCGAACCATATGATTTTACCAGGGCTAACCAAGCACGGGTTCAGGCGGGTCTGGAAGCAAACGCTAGCTACACAACTTACAAGCCAGCCGTATGAATGACAGCTGGCAATTACTGGGTGCTTACTCGTGGCAGCACTTCATATGCGGTACTGCATCCACACGGATATTCTAAAAATATGTATTTGGTCTTCATCCCAGTTTCCTGGCACAGAACTCCTAAAATCTTTGGAAACACTTCAAAGGGATACTCTTTTTAATGATAAAAAGCACATGCACAAGCATGGGGAGAGAGGGACGGGAAGGGAGGAGAGAAAGGGAGAGACAGACGGCACCCTCACTAGAGCGCTGTCACACTGCCGCAATCCCTTTCCCCAGTCCCGCAGCTCCTCAGGACACTGACTGCCCACGTGTCCTTTTGGGGTCTACTGGGATCTGGACCAGGGTAGCCATGTGGCATCCAGCACTGCAGGGGTAGCCTTTCAGGTGCCACAGGGGCTGGCCGGAGTCTTCCTGTGAGCTGGGGAGTGGCCTGATGGCTAGCAGCCCTCAGGTAGCTTCACGTTGAAGGCTGGCCCAGGAAAGACTAAGGCGGGCTTTCAGGCCTGCCACTCCTCAACCTTGGTAGAGTTTGGGTAAATTTCCTGAGAACTGAACACATGGGTGTTTCTAGAGGGTAGTGCACCTGAAGAGGACAGAGAAGCTCCATGCCCCTTTCCACATGCCTTGTCCCATGCATCTCTCCACTTGTGTCCTTTAAAATACCCTTGACAATGCACAGTAAATGAATAGAAGTCCCTGTGTCCCTGAGTGAGCTGCTCTAGCAAATCCATCAAACCTCAGGCTGGGACCAGCAGGTGGCATGATGGTTGGGATGCTGGATTCCCACATGGCCGACCATGGTTTAGGTCCCAGGCCTGGTGGCTTGCTTTCTCACTTTCCCTCCCTCTCTCTTTCTGGCTCTGGTCAAATTTAAAATAATAATAAATAAAATTAAATAAAATAGTTCTTTAAAAAAAAAACAAACCTAAGAAGGGGTGTGAGTTGTGGGAACCCTGATTTATAGCCGGTCAGTCGGAAGCACAAGTAAAAACAACCTGAGGGGACCAGCAGTCAGCGTAATGGCTATGTCGCTGGACTCCCATGTAGTCGACCGTGGTTCGAGTCCTGGACCTGGTGGCTTAAACTCCCGCCGGGCGCATGGGCATGCGTTCCCAAGATCCCGAGAGGAGAATGGAGGAGAAGGGATTGCGGCGTGACCGTCCCCTCTGGGGGGTGATTTCTCACTTTCTGTCTCTCTGTCTCTCTCTTTCTGGCAAGCGCACACGCCCTATAACAAAAACCTCTCAAAAAAAAATCACAAAAAATCTGAAACTTGTAATTAGCATCAGACGCTGGGGCACTCCTGTGGGATTGCGTCCTCTACCTGTGGGATCTGGGATCTGACTGTACCTCCAGGTAGACAGTTGTGGAACGTAATTGAATTAGAGGACACCCAGTTGGTCTTTACTACCGATCTGATGGCCGGCTTGCTTATGTACAGGGAAACCACATCTGGTGTCAGAAGTGTGTAGTAGGAGTGGGGCCAGCAGGTGGCATGGTGATTACGGTACTAGACTCCCATGTGGCCAACCATGGTTTGAGTTCCACACCTGGTAGGTTGCTTTCCCACTTTACCTCTCTCTTTCTCTGGTCAAATTAAATAGTAATAACAACAATAAATAAAGTTAAACAATTCTTCACTCTCCAATCCCTCTCCATTCGTGCAGAAGCCAGGCCTCTTCATAATGCAGAGCTGACCAAGTCACCCGGCTGAAAGGCCCAGCACAGCCCCGGGTGCCTCGTATTGGAAGTCCCTCCTCCAGCGTCTGCAGTGGGTGTTCAGAGGATCCGTAGGCGTACCCTGAACTTGTGCAGCAGATGCAAGTTCGTATTTCCACTTTTCTGGGAGCGTCGATAGGTCCCATCAGATCAGCAAGTGGACCCAGGCTGGAGGCACAGCATGGCAGGTCGTGTATGAACTGCAGTGCTGGACGCTGCATGCCCAGCTGGGAGTTTGGATCCCCAGACTGGCAGGCCTGAGACACAGTCAGTGTGCGCCCAAGATCCTGAAGAGCTGAAGGGCTGGGGGAAGGAAGATCCTGGCAAGAGCGCCCCCCTCTCTTTCATATATGTGCTCTCCATTATGAGTAAAATAAACTAAAAATAAAATTATTGGGAGCAGCAGATGGTGTAGTGGTTACATTGCTGGGACTCCCACATGGTCGGCCGCAGTTCGAGTCCCAGATCTGGTGACTTAAAACTCATACCAGGGGACAGCAGTTGGCGTAATGGCTATGTTGCTAGATCCCATGTAGTCAACTGTGGTTCGAGTCCTGGACCTGGTGGCTTAAACTCACGCCGGGCGCGTGTGCATGCGTGCCCAAGATCCCAAGAGGAAAATGGAGGAGAAGGGATTGCAGTGTGGCCACCCCCCAGGGGGGGTGATTTCTCGCTTTCTGTCTCTCTGTCTCTCTCTGTCTACAGCAAACACATGTGCCCCACAGCAAAAATAAAAATAAATAAATAAATTAAATTATCAAGGGAGCCTGTGATATCTCCCACTCCAAGAAAAGGATAAAAGCCAACAACTGGAGGGGCCAGCAGCTGGTGTGGTAGTTAAAGGTGCTGGACTTCCAGATGGATGACCATGGTTCGAGTCCCGGACCTGGCACACCCGGCACATGTGCGTGCATGCCCAAAATCCTGAGAGGACGGAGGAGATGGGCTTGTGATGTGGCCATCCCCCGGGGGGTGGATTTCTCACTTTCTGTCTCTCTGTCTCTCCAGCTAGCACATGCTTCCTATAGCAAAAATCTCTCTTAAAAAAAATAATAAAATAAAAACAGGAAGCCTGTCCCAATTCCAGGCCACAAACAAGGCTTAGCTGTGTCTTCCTTTGCTATTAATTGCCCTGAGCACGTATCTCACCTGGCTCTTACCAGGCAGACAGTTTTCTGTCCTGTTTCTCTCCTCTCACCAGCCTAGGATGGGGGCCAGGGCCCTCCACGTGGGGACTGCATTACAATCACTGTTGGTTTTCCAGTTCCCCACACAGTATCCGACTAAAGCAAGGCAACTGGATGGATGACCTTCTAAGCAGTCCCCCTTCCTAGTCCGGGGCTAACACTCAGGGTCTTATCCCCAGTAAATGTACTGTACCCCCTGGTGGCAGCAGGACCAGCCCCACGGCCCTGACGACACTCACACTGGCCTGGTACTTGGTCATCACTGTCAGCATGAGCTTGGCGTAGGCCATGGAGGTGGCGGCCACCAGGCCCTCTTGA